CTGGCTTGTGTAGACGGCCTTCCCTCCTATGCGGGTTTGAATCCCGCCGAATGCCGCGAGTTTTTTCACAATTGGGTAAACTAAATTAAGCAAATCTGCAAAACCCCATCCTAATAAAAGGGCATCAGATGAATAACAATTCCCATAAGTAACCACTGAAGTAATCACTGGATTGGACATTAATATGAGGCTTCTATTGTAGCAAAATTTCAGTCCTTTAATCACATTCTAGGATTATTAACTTAACAGCTTAGCGATGCATTTTACACATAAAAGTAATCTACTTTGGCAGGTATAAGCCTATACTGCTTGGAAATAAATCCAAAAAACCATTTACCTCCAGTGATTTTCAAACTTGAGGAGCGAGCAAAATAAATTCTTTAGGGAATATGTGTATATACAGTTATAAAACCGACAGTTAAATGAATGCTATCGGCACGGTAGATCATGTTACACATCTATATGATATTCACTGTCTGTTCTTTGAATATTAGGCATTAACTTTGCTGTAAGTAACGGACTTCGGCTAATATGGTGCTGTTACATTTCGGACTGCGCATATAAGACGTACTTCCAACCACCAAACTTGAAGTTAAAAATTAATATCTGAAGGGCTTAAAAACAAATTTAAAAAATAAGTTAAGGAAGTCTGTGGAAAAGGCTAATGGCCTCCGAAAAATCAACCTCGTCATACATAATGCTCTTTCGTTTGATTGATATTCGTGCTAATGTCTGACCAAGGTTTACAATTTATTTGATAAAAACTCAAAAGGCTATAGGCCGCGAGAATATAGTCCTCCATATTACAGGTGATCTTGTGCTCAAGTGAGTAATGCCTAGGATTAAAAATATGTGAAAAAGTGCCTCCTGCAATCTAGCGCCAAGCCACATACCACACAACAGGTACTTGTTTCCGTTTCAGGTCGTTTGACCACAATTTTAACACGCGCTGGCAGTTAGGAAACAACTGAAGACTGTAAGTGCTATCTTAGTCTAACATAAAATTTTACGGTCTACAGTATCCAACCAAACATGAGTAACCGAAGTATTCAGAATCCATTGCAAGATGCACATTGTTAAACGAAATATTTTTGGGATCAGAGGCATTCCATTTAACGAACAGAAACTTGACTTTGAGGCTGTCCCTCAAAAAGTGGAAGTTAAGCAACATTTCGTTTCTGTAGAATGAAAAAAAGGCAAAAACAGCAAGATTCTATTTTATTTTAAAGATGGTCGCACAAAATTTAGAATACTCAATGAAAATCTTAGTGGGAGCTCTGCCAAAAAAATAAACTGATGTTGTTTCTGATTATCTACCCATTTTTTGTATTCAACCGATTGTCCTGACATTACCATAAAAATATTGTCTTTTAAACTTTCTCAGTTTTGGAATCTAAGTGTTACATTTGTTCAGTAGATTTATATTTTTAAGCTTGTTTCAACTAAATCTGCGAGAGTGGCAAAATATTCCTAGGATGATTTGGAAAAAAGTTTTAAAAAGTACGACAATCAGATAGGAATCAGAAACATCTTCATTTTCACGCGTACACGAATATCATTATCCTACTTGTTAACTGCAAAAGTTTCAGGGCTTCAAATTCCGTATAGAAATAGATGCAAGGTAAATGCCCACACAGATAGGGTGACTGTTTTTGTATTGAGTCAATGGTCTTTTAGAAAAGCAAGACTTTTGACCTTTAAACGGTTTGCCCAATTTAGATTCTAATAAACGGAGACTACAGCTCACTTAGTAGATGCATAACCTAAACATAAACAGTATGCACAGTAAAGTAAGACATAGCCTTTTATTTAAATCTGTGTCAATGCGCATGCAGAATTAATTTATATTTCATATAAGAACAAAATAAACTTACTTCTTCAAAAACCCTTGGGTCATAGGTATTGTCGTCGTCTGCGAAATACACAACACCCTTTTGCCCTGGCCAGTGGGTATAATTTCGAATCCAGTTGAGGCCCTCGTTACGCTGATTACTCCCCTTGATAAATCTACTTTTTTGAGATGTCGCGCAAAGTTGGGTACTCGGCACCGGACATCTACGTCGAACATCTGTAACTGCTCTAAAAGACAGATCCATCGCACTTCTACGAGGTATTGCGCATATCGTTTATAAACTATAAAAAAATGTCGTCGTACATAAATTCTTAAAGATGAGTCCTTTTAATATTCACTTTAGAATTTATAACATTTTGCGTTTATTAATGAGTATAATAAAATAGTTTCGAGATAATCAGAACAGTAGCATACTAATCAAAACTAAGCAGCAATAAATTGACTGGACAATTACTTTAATTTGGACTCCCTACAATGAACATGTGCATTTCGGAAATTAATATACCCATTTTTTAAACAGTTTATTTTTTCCACTAATTATAAATGAAGTATGTTAAATGGAAATTTCCACATATATAATTTACACCTATGCAGACTTGCGCTCATTGTCAAATTCAAAAGATATATTCCTGTCATATATATCCATTGAATCCTTCACTATTCTTACTTCTCAAAAGACAGATTTGCTCACTTCACTATGCAAAATAGAGACTGCGGTAAAAAAACAATATTCATGGAAGATTAGTGGATTATGACAGCCTATCAACAGCTTTAGCAAGCAGTAGCTTGCAGTTCACGGCCACCACCCAAGCAGGA